TTTTTTTTTTTCTGGAATTTCGTTCTACATTTTGAGAGTCGATAACAAAGGGAAGAACAGGGTAATACTTTGTGGTCTGGTTCCCAGAAGTGAACCGATTTTTCTCCCAAGCCTACTAGCACTGTTGAATCTGTGAAACCTCGACGCTGTTACTTTCACTGCAAAAACCACTGATTTTACGTCGCTTGGTTTCTCTTTTCTCTGGCATTACAGTGGCAGAGGTGGTGGTGGTGCCCTCGCTCTCTGTTTTTCTGCAGGGCCAATCCAAAATACTTAATGGGGTTCTTGTACTTGACACCGAATCCAGAACTGACTCGTTACCTTCATTAATCACCATCTCTTCCATTGCACTGAAGCATTTCAACAGGCTCTCCTGTATCCAATCAAAATAGAAACATTGACGTTTACCAAAAAATGGTCTGAATGTAGCAATGCACAGAACATGAATGTGTCTATGCTTACTTTATTTACGTGTTCACACGATAAAATTGAAGCTTTGAAAGATGGAAACTGGAGGGGGAATAACTCATGGGATGCCAAAAGAAGCGCCGATGCTGCCATTGTCGATGGGTTGAAGGCTAACAGGTTGATTTCTGTTGAAAAAAAACAGAGTCCCCTGATAAGAAACAGAGTCATTTGGGATAAGCAGTAAAAACAGAGTCTCTGCTTGTTCTGTTACCATTTTGAGCTTTGAAAATGATTCTTGTAGCTCGACCTTTGAGAGCTTGTGTGAGTGGAGGATCTTTCATTTTGAGTAAGGACATAAAGAAACAGAGAAAGGAGAATGGGGTTATCGATCTCATTCTCCAATTCAAAGCAGCAAGAATGAGAACCTCCATCCTCTGAATCGTTTGCATATCAAAGATGAATCCTTCTTTCTGTTTCATCAATTAACTTCATGCATGAGTTCCCATGAAAAGGATCCAAGAGATATTCATGATTCTACATTATTCTACCTGGAAATCAGAAGAATAGAAGTCCTTTTCCCTCATCTTTGCAGCAAGAGAAAGGCAAGATATAACCAGAAGCCTCAGAAGCCATGGCTTACCCAGCTGCAAAAATTAAGATGAGTCAAGATGAAACATTATGTGATACAATCAAAACTCGTAAAAATTTTGGCTTTAACACATACTGGAATTTCTTTCCTGGATATGAATCGATCCATGTAGTTTACAGCAAGGTAGGTTGTGAATGGATCAAAGTTGCAAGAATACTGCACCTGAAAGAGGGAAAACCATAACAGCTTTACTCTAACAGAAACGAGCAAAACCAAAGCAAGCAGCAGTATGTTCTCACCTGAAAAAACAGAGCAATGGCTTCTTGACGGAACGAAGCAGAGAAGTCACCGGTCTTTAAAGACTGTGTATAGTCCTGCGCGGACATATGATCAAATTCTGCGGAGAAGAGCGCTGCGATTGAATCAGATTGCTGTTGCTCCGAACTTGTAAACGGGTCCTCAAGATCGAACTCCATCGTAGTAGTACTTGTTCTTTGTTTTCCTCTGTTTTTGGTAAAAGTTGTTTCCTTCCTTATGTTGGAATTGTGTGAGAAAGAGTAAAGAAGGGAAGAATGGGAAAGAAATAAATGTGCAAAGGAGTGAGCAATAATGATGGGAAAGAGAAGCTTCGCTTTCTGTGCTGAAAAAGAAGACCTGCGCGGCTGTGCTAGCCTTCACTTTCCTTCCCAGGGTCCTCAGTCTCTACAGCAGCACCCCCATTAACTTATATGCATATTGGTCCCTGTTTCCCTCCTCTTTCTCCTTGGAAAAGAAAACAACAAAACTTCCAGTTTGTTAAAAAGAAACTGTAAATATTTTTTGTGTAACAATTTTCATGATGTCAATTTTACTATTCACAACAATTTGTTACTATTTTTCTTTCTCTGGCTCTTAGTTTGTCAAGTTCCTCAGTCTGCCCCGCTCATTTAGCTCATGGAAAAATACTTTTTTTCTTTTTGAGAAAACATGGAAAAAATAATATTTATCAAGAGAAAACGGAAAATAAGACTAATCAAAAGGATAAAACACTTGGAATATAGTGTTATTTTTTATAAACTGGTTGGTAATAAGTGAAATAGCTATTTTCATATTTAAGTTACATATTTTTTTGTTATTTTATCAATATGAGATTTTTTCATTTAACAAAATCTCATCTATCATGTGGCTAGAGAAATCGTTATTTTAAGTTGGGATGGGCAAAAAAATATCAATCCGGACAGAAAAGAACATTTATGTTTAAAGTATGCTCTTAAGCCAACTCTTCAAGTTCATGAATAGGTTTATATAATGCATTAAAAATCATATTCCTCTGACCAAAGGTTTACTAGGTTTAGAGTGAGAGATGCTTAAGTATGATCTGTTAATTGTTGTTTAATCAAGAGTTAAATTCTTTGGTGCTTAATTTGAATAGTCTCACAAGAGGAGACTGTGGTCCTTCCACGGAAACCAAACATGATAATAGTAGAGACAGCTGAGGTATATATATCATTAATTTTGCCACGGTAAGCGCCAGTACAGTTAGATAAGTATCAATAAATCCAGAGCAAAATACACACTGAAATATGACACTGTATGCAGAAAGATTGGTAGCTGGCATTCTGGCTTTTGTTCACAACTTTTCTTTTCTTTTTTCATATTCCTCTCTTTATAAGAATCTAGTATTTGGAACTGATAATTTTTACCTTGTTGAACTTAAGTGTCCAAATGCACCCTTTAAGCTTAGAAATGGAAGATTCTTTAGTTAATCTTCAGACAACTTTTGAAACAACAACCTGTTTTAACTCGAAGCTCTCGCCAACATAATTAATGTGTAATAGATTAATCACATTTCCCTAAAGTTTCTGTCTTTACCATTACCATGTCATTATTACTTCCATATGGGATTGATTCCATTAGTCTGTTTTTTTTTTTAAAAAAAAAAAATTACCATGATTTGAATGCAAATATGCCCATGAACATAAGAGTGATGAGATTTAAGCAAATTTTGACGGGAAAAGGGAGGGGTGAAAGTTGGTATGGGGATTGTGGATTTGGAACAAGTTCACATGAGTAATAGGAAGACTAAAGAAGATGAGACGTGTGGGGATTTAGGCCTCAATTTTACTGAGGATCCCATCATGTTGGGTATGATTAAGCAAATGAGTGAGGCATGCACATACCATCCTCATCTGTTTGAGGAAAAACCTGACAGACTTCTCTGTATCTTTTACAACACTTCCTGTGACTCACGTGTTTTTGATAAATGCAAATTCAAGTACTTTTCCCCTGTGATAAATGCTTCAGTGAACTTTCTTTGAAGTAAATTTGCATTTTAGGCAGTAATGGTTAGTCCTTCTGTCCTAAATTAACTATGTGGTTTTAATTTTTTTAATGTAATTTTAGGTAATACTTTTATATAACATATAACTCACACTAGAGGAGTAATTGATTTAGGTTTTATTTGTTAGTGCTTGTTTATATTTTTTTATAATTAATTTTAATTAATATTTTATATATTTTTAAATAATAAAAAAACAACAAAACATCTATTGCTACGACATGGTGTGGCTTCGCCAACCCAAACCTTAGACGAAAAGACCCACCCCCAGTGCACGCTGTCCTCCTCGGATTCTTGGAAATTTCCTATTTCATCATTTGGGTTTTGTTTGTTATAAATGATATGGATGTCAATGATTGATTTAAGTTAATTTAGATTGTATTTCTTAATGTTAATATGCTAGATGAGAAGTGGACCATTTTCTTGCAGAGAGAGATTTATCAAACATAGAGGAAAGGCACATTCCCAGAAACATACAAATACATGGAGACAATTAAGCAGTTCATTTGACCCCTCCATGCATTAAATTTATAGACACATGACAACTTTTTTCAACAAAGCAACAAGGAGGACATCTAACTGCTTAGAGAGATACATATACTGTCAAAATTGTGAGTTAACTACGAATTTTCAAATTTTCAGAGGATACAAAGTTGTTATTAATAGTCTTTCCTTTTCATGGCAGGGGTGACAGCTTGGGTTCATGTCCTTATGTTGGATGAGTAGGGCCTTGCCTTCTTCTCCACTTGCTATCTGGCATATTGATATGGTCTTTGCTTCACATTATCTTATCGCCATAAAATTTTCAAACCCCCCATATGATTTTGATGGGTTAAGAAAAAGAAATTCTGTGCTTCAGAGCAAAGCCCTTTCTTTGCATGCAGAGAGATATTTTTCTTTCAGTAAATTCTTTGGTCCATAGAATAAGACGTAAGCTCTTCAATGTGCTGTAGTTGGATTAAGACCATGGACTGTATATAGTTTAATTATCATGACATTCTTAGGGAATGACATAGTAATTTCTCGTGAATTTTTTTAATTTCGGTGTAAATAGTCAACTTTTTAGTAAAAGTGAAGATGTGACCTAATCTAATGCTTGTAGCTGGCCCTTAATACTGGTGACTACCAAACCCATAGGCCACATCCTCCCTCCTAAAAAAGTCAGACTGCATAAACAATTAGTCCACTGAAAAACCATATCCATGAAACATTTGTGTGGTTGAGAATCTGATGAATTAAGCCAAAGCAGAAGAAGACCCATTTTTGCTCATATCTATGCAGTTAATGTAAAAAATACCTACTGAGGAAGAGATGATCTGGAAAGTCAAAACTTACAAGATAAAACAATAATAAATCAATCAATTAATTGAGTTTACAACTCGGTGCAGACTTTTAGCTAATGGGAAAACAGAAGAAATCGTACTACCTACCAAGTAAAACAAACAATCAATAATTGGTTTTATTTTACCAAAGCAAACTGTATAATTTATATATTAAACTTTGTAATTAACTAATACTATATAAAATTTACTCTCTTTTTTTCTGTATTCACGGTTGGGCATCACCAAGCTAATTTTTATATATTTTGAATTGAAACTCTTTTTTTTTTTTTTCGAATGATGATCTTAAAAATACGATTTTATATCAACTAAGTATATTTAAACAAATTAATTTTTTAAAATTTTATCTCTAAAATTTAAATCTTAAATATGATGTACAAAACAACTCCTGTCAGTGAATCCAACTTTGGTGTCCTATACAAAATCTACTCACTGCAGCAAATATAGCCAGCATGATTCGTAGCCTTTATGGCTTCCGCTCCTTATCCTGCAGGTAGAACCTTCAGCCTTCTTTATTCTACACACCCATCAATTATTGCATTTCATGGTCAAACCATTTGAACAGACCTTTTTTTTTAAGCTGAAGAGATGCAGACAGCAAAGAAAGAAACATGAAACCATAAGTATTGCTAATCTTTTTTCATATTACTAAACTAAACATATAAATCTCAAAATATTTTAATTCTAGAGTCGAGATTAAGGGGTTTAAACCTTTACAAATAAAAAGTACAAATAAAAACTTTTTTTTTTTTTGGGGATATCAAAGGATAGGATATTTGAAGAAGAAGCCAAAATGATTTTAATTATGCATTTAGGTTGTTAAAATGTCTCTAGAGAATGTACCTTTTGTTGCATTCTCTCTTTCTTTTGTTCTTTCCTTGCTTTCCTAGCTAGTGTCTTCTTCTCAAGCTAGCCAACGGATTCTCATTGATTCAAGAGAAAGAAAGAGTAAAAGCTTAGAGTCTCCTTTCATTTCCACCACTTTTGCTTTTCCCTTTTGTGTCCCCCTCTCATCTTTTTTACTGCATATTTACATTTTATAAATTTTACTATTTAGTTATAAGGATTTGGATTAAGGGTATATTAATTATATATTTTTATAATTAATTTATATAGAAAAATAAAAGTTAATTTTAAATTTATTAATTATTTAATTAAAATAATCTATGTAGCACCGTGTTAAAAATAATATTTACTTTTATATTTTAAGTTTTTTTAACATATACCTTTGGAGTATAGTTTAATAATTTTAAAAGAATAAAAAATAATATTTAATTTATTAATTATTTAATTAAATTTATCTACATAATAATGACACTAAAATTAATATCTATTTTTACATTATTTATGATAAAAAAATATTTTTAATATATGTCTTTACAAGACACAAATTAAAACAATCCTTATATTTTTTTTATGAAAGCTTATTAAACAAGATACAATTACTACGCTTAAGAGAGTGATGTAATAGGACTTATGAGTGCTCTCACGCACGCCGTCCCCCCATGGAGAGAGCAGCATCATATCTTCCAAACCTGAGAGTCAGCTGACATCTCCTTAAAGACTCCACAAAATCATGACATTAATTATGTCCTATTTTTGTGACTTTTTGTGTAATTAACTTAACATCAACACACTTCAAGGAAATACCAAAAACAATTAAAAAAAAAGAACCTTGATATTTTGAGTTGAGAATTGAGAGAGAAAGATCAACTAATAGAGAACGTCTCCCGTTGTTTTAAAATGATTAAGAATTTAAAATTTTAAATT